CCACACACACACACAAAATACAAAAAACATAACAACAATAACAAATCTAGTGAGTATATGTGTGTGTGTGTATGTATGTATTATGTATGTATGTGCGTGTAAACCAAACGAAATTAGAAGTTTAAGAGTAGGTGGAGGGCGTTGCGCCCCCAAACAAAATTAGTAGTCTTCTGCTGCCTTTCTAATGAGATTTGTTTAAAATAGGTGATACAAGTCAATATGTAAAGTAAGTATTTTTCTGTTTTATATTTTGTTTCCCACCAAGTGTTCGGTACCCTCTCTAGGCTTGACTAATCTGGATATCCGCTGCTTAAGGCCCACTAAAAGGGTAAGGCATATCTTTAGTTACACCGACAAATGAAAAAAATTCAAGGTTGGCACATTTGTTTCTCTATCCTGGATTTTGTAGGGAATGCTTGCATGTTAAGGTCTCTAAAACGCTTCATTCCATCTTTTCCATGCATTCATTATATCAGTTTTTGACTCAAGAATAGAGTAGATCTGTTTTTAGTGTACCACGAAAACAAGGTTAGATCTTAGCAGGATTCATAAAAATTAATTGAGGGGGTGGGTACAATTTTGGCTCAAAGTATACCATTTATTGACCTAGGGGAGGGCTGCATATTTTTATTATACTCGAGGAGAGAGAAAATGTGTTTTACATTTTACAACCAAATCTTAAATTTGAATTTCTCAGAGGTATGGGTGAAATGTGTGAGGTCCCGAATCCACGAACCTCTTCATTAAAAGCATCTTCTGAAGGAAGATCAGTCGCACATGGAACCTTCAATCACTTAGATTTGCTGCAATTTTCATCTTTTTACTGATGGTGAGGTGATGAGGCCTGGGTTTATTTTGTTCTCGGCATGTTATTATTAATATATTCTTGATGAAAATGTTGTATTAATTTATATTTTTTAGTTTTATCTTTTTTGCTGTCTTCTCTGTTGTCTCTTTTGGCTTCTTTCATGTGGTGGGATTTGTGTAAGATACTGTTGGTAAATATATGGATATGCAGTTCGTAGCTGCAGGCTACTGAATGAAATTGTACAGAAATGGTGTTTTTAGGTCTGAAAAACCTATCCTTGTGTTGCAGCCGTCTCCCGCATCAGTGTGCTCTTCAAGTGTGCCAAGCGGGGAGCTTAATTTTTGAGGCTGGTACCAGAAGGGTGGTTTGCTGCTTGGTGGTCAACAGCTCTACCTTCAACAATCATGCAGCGTAGTTACTTCTTCGCTCTAGTTTTTTTCTTTTCTTTTGTTGGTAGTTAATGTAGGTTGAATTTCGTTGAATTTCTTCGACTCTTTTGTGACTATAAGCAGTGGTGTCAGAACTTGCGCCTTTTCTTCTTCTATATGCGACTTTCATTCTCTCCTATCTGTGATGGCAATAATTGATGTTTGGCATTTGACCAATATCTATCCTTGTATCACTAAACTTACATTACATCCTCATAATCTTTCACTAAGCATGAAACATCCTTTAAGTTTTCCAAAGCTAAACCAAAAACATCCCTCCGTCTTCCATTTCTAAATACCGCCTTCTCTCACATGCATTTTATCTTTTTCTTAAGTTTTAATTTATGATGGCTAGCTTTCTCGGATGCTATATATGTATCAGATTAGCTGAAGACACTGTTGTTTCCAACATAGCCACTCGCTTTGGCTGTTCTTTGTCCAAGCACTCAACAGCGAAAGTGACGATTTGCTTTTGAGTTCCGACTTAGGCCACAATTAGAAGTACTAAATTTCCACGTGTACATTTCTTTTTAAGGTTCAACGTCTTGCTGTTGGATTCATCTTCTGGAAAAGATATTTCAGTACTTGCAACGGAATGATGAGTCTTTTCCTTCGACGGCTATCACTAGTTCCCTACTTCCGGAAATAGCTTATGTTTTCTTTTTTTATTTAATCCTTTTTGCACTTTTCATTGTTCTTTATTGATAACTCGACGATGATATTATACTTGATATTTCCAGAAATCCCTTCCTGATGAGGAGTCTAACCAAGAAAAATCACTGGACTTGGTCTAAACCGGAACAAGTGGAAGAAACTGATCTCATGCCACATTTCAAGATGGCATGTTAGAAAATCCGGAGAAGGGAGGGCCATTTTCGCTGGTCTAGTGTTGTCAAGTCAGTTTTTGTTCTTTAATAAAGCTTGTGCGGATTTTTCAAAAAAAAAAAAAAAAAAAAAAGAAAGAAAGAAAGAAGGAAAGCAAGAAAGATAAAGTACATTTAAGAGAAGAAGGCAGTTAGTAATGGATGGAAAATTTGATGGAGGACAGTTTTTTGGTTAGGTTAGGTTTGGAAAACTTTAGGGATGTTCCTTGTTAAATGGTATATTATGAGGATGTAACGAAAGATTAGGTGATACAACAAAGATGATATTGGTAAAAAACTCGCAGAAGTTACAAGAGCAAAAGATTGGTGTTAGGCGAGGACGATGCCGATTTCTTCCACACACACCCCACCCCAAAAAAATAAATAATCCCCTGGCGTAATTATCTCCTTTTCCCTAGCCTTGAAGATGGTTCGGGCACATTCAGAGGAGGAGCACTGATGCACCGGTGAGGAGGTGTGAGCGACTGGCTGTCGTGGGCACGCGGAGAGGTAGAGGAAGACCTAAGAAGTATTGGGGAGAGGTGATCAGACAGGACATGGCGCGACTTAGGATTACTGAGGACATGACCCTTGATAGGGAATTATGGAGGTCGAGCATTAAGGTTGTAGGTTAGGGGAGAATGTGAATATTTCTACAGCACAATAGAGGGAGACTATCCAGTTAGGAGTTAGACTAGGAATGTCATTGGTCGTCTATTGATGCAGGGCTTTACCTTCTAGTTGTACTATACCAGCCATTTATTTTCGTATTTCGTATTTCGTATTTCGTATCCTGTATTTCATATTTCATATCTCTTATATATTGTTGTTATTTTTATTACGCATTTTTATGGTACTAATATATCATCTCCTATTGCTTTTTTTGAGCCGAGGGTCTCCTGGAAACAGCCTCTCTACCCTTCGGGGTAGGGTAAGGTCTGCGTACATATTACCCTCCCCAGACCCCACTTGTGGGATTATACTGGGTCGTCGTCGTTGTTGTTGTTGTTCCCTAGCCTTGAAGAGAACAAAAGTTACATACATAAAGGCATTGTATTATAATCACTTTTAAGCTTAAGGTGCAATTGGTCCTTCGTGATTTGCGATGTGCGACCTGAGTTGCCTAGGACTCTTGTTTTACTTGCAGTATAACGTTCTTGTACTTCACTCCCCTCTTTAAAAAACTCTTGAACATACATTGATGTGACGCGTATTTTCGGGCCAATTTTCAAAATGAATGAATACTAATAGTGGGGATCACGTAGGTTGAACGAATATGTTTCAAATGAATGACCTTCGTCTGAACCACAATTTTTTTTCAGGGCAAAATTTCTGAACAATGAATCGGTCTTGTCCGAACGAAGCCAAAACCTTTCTTACAGTTCATATAAAGAATGTAACAACAACCATGTTGATGCCCCTCAAGGACAAAGTTTCCTACTACATCATATATTGATACAAAAAAATACAAGGGGAAAAGGTGAGGGAGATAGTCACAATTAAATGCATACACTAATACTCTGCTATGAGGAGGGAGAAGATACATCAGGGCTGCTTGACGGGTCCCAACCCGGTGGTTTGATGTCTGGCCAATCACCTCTGCAGCCCAACCTGATGTATAAACTCTTTTTTCCTTCAGAATAGAAGAAAACAAATTGACAAATCACATGACAAGCTTGTACAAACTTCCAATTCATGTCAAGGCAAAGGGGCTCTTTCTTTGTAATGCTAGAACATTAGCGTATGATTCTCATATTAGCTGTATATATATATATACAAGCTTATGAACAGTGTCACGGAAGGAAATATCAAAAAAGGTTACTCAACATACTGACAATAACGCTAAGCGCATGTTTAACTCATTACACTTGCGCAAGCTCCTTTACCATCTATGTTAGTAGTTTTTTCTTTCTTCTTTTTCTGCCTTTTTGAAAGAGAATAAGCCTATCCACAATAAATTCAAAGTTCATAACAACTAGGTGTAGGAAGCATGGTTATGAAATGCAGTGTACCTGGAAGGTCTTTATCTGCCAAAATTAAGCGCTTGAGTGCACTAAGCACAGCCTGAGCTACTGACTTTGAATAGTTAGGGTCCCAACCTCCGAGCTTTACTACCACTTCAGCATTAGAGTAACCTCGACCACTATCTTGCATGTTCCTTTTTGCTTCCTCTTTTGCAGATTCTTCATCTGCAGTTGATATCAGCTTAAAATACATAACAAGACTTATCTTAGATGAAAGACCAGCTTAAGAAACAGAACACATTTCCCATTATAATTTAGAGGTGCACTTGGTAATTTGTACACAAGTGATCAATTATCTGCACTTGGTTGCCAAGGGGTTGGCAGGTGCACATAGGAGAAACTTATTTATATCTCAGTTTCTATTTTCTTGTCAAGTTCGTATCTCGCTCAGGAGTTGTATAGTTTCTACAGTAGACAGATGTTTTTAGCAATCGCAAGACTCGAAAGGGAGTCAGATAAAAAAATATGCAACTTAATTCTGTTTTAAGAAAAGATTTCTAGAGGTAGACTAGTTTTTGTTATTTTTCTCCCTTCATTTGTAGTCTACAGGGAACACTCATGACGACTTATGTCTCTAAAGTAAGTTGAACATGTGCATACCGATCTTGGCTTGTCAACTAAGAAAACTCATAGCGAGATAAACTTTAATCTTAGTTCATCATTTCACTGGATTAGATTCGAAGCAGCATTCACTCCATATATCATTTAAAGAGAGAGAAGTAGACACTTATAATTCATATTGCAGTCAAAGAAAGAGTTACTTTCCACATAGCTTGTTAGGGGACACAGCTTAAACAAACAAGTCCATGATTCAATATGATTTGTGACCAACAAAATGATATAGTTTTGCGTGTCAAATACGCCAACATACTATGAAACCAAGTAACAACTTTCAGCAATCGTAGAAAAGCCACATTTTACGATGTACAAATAAGTTCTCAATTCCTGCCCCCCCCCCCCCCCCACACAACCCCAGAAAATAAATGTCGTTTTAAAAAATATGTATTGTGTCACTCCTAGACTATCTAAATAAAGGGAATGGAAACTCATGGATAGACAGAAAATAGCAATATATAACAATAGAGTGGCTTGTAAAACATACAATACATCCAAATGAAGGGGAGAGAGAGAGAGTTAAGTTTCCTAACCTGTGGCTTCAGATAGGGAAAGCCAGATTGTGAATCCAGCAAAAAGATGCCTCCATTGGTTTGCTCTTCCAGCGGCACCTCTCTTCCCTCCCAAGGTTGCAATAACAGCACGGGCATGGCTAAAACAAGAATCAAATATAATATATTTCTACTTATCAATACCAAGGGAAACGAGTAAGGCATACAAGACAAAGTGAATACCTACTGAGGCTCTCTAGTATAACACTTTCTGCTTCTGCTACAGCATCAGACCCCTCCTCATTTACCCCTGGAATGGGTTAGGAAACAATTGAATAAAGAGGAAAAATGATCTTTGGCTGAAGGGAGGCAAGGGGATATTATGCCTTTGAATGCATGAGAAACGAGTGTTGTGTGTATGGCATCTTCATGATACAAAGCAAATTAAATGTTTCCCTAGATTTGCATGTTTGCTTTATCTCTCTTCCCTAGTTATTTGGTTTATCCCTCTGCAATCAGGATAGTTCTGATCTTCCTTGTAAACACTTTTTTTTTTCCTATTGTTTTTCCTTGAAACTTATTACTTATTGATAGTTATCTCCTTTTGCGAAGAGAAAAAAACGGATGTAACTCACATGAATCAATTGGTTGCTTGGCATATGCTTCTAGCAGCTCCGTAGTACTAAGAAGGGTGTACCTAACCACCATAAGAGGAGACGTGTCCAGATAATAAAAGGAAAAGGATATTTAGGAGAGAAACAATAAATTGCACAAGACAAGACAAGACAAGATTTACGTGGTTCGGCAATTTTTGCTTACTCCACGGTCACACAAAGAATAACTCTTTATTAATTGAAGAGAGAAAGAAGAAGTTTTGGGATGATCTACAAATGAAAATGTAGACCCCTATTTATAGGCATTTGAATGCCCTGCCGAGGTAAGCGCTTACATCATAAGAATGCCGATGTAAGCGCTTACATCATAAGAATGCCGAGGTAAGCGCTTACATCACAAGAATGTCGATGTAAGCGCTTACATCATATTTTCATCTCTTTTTGATTTTTCTTTCTTTTGTTTTGTCTACTTTCACATACAACAATAGGTTTGGTCCTATCAATCTCCCCCTCAAACCTATGTTACATCAAGAAAGAAAATAAAAAAAAGATTTGCTATTCTCTGGTGGCGC